CCTGGAAAATGTAGAAAGCAAAGCCATGAAATCAGCCAAGGAATAGCTGTTTTATTAAACAGATGAAAATTAATCGCAGGCTAACGGCAGTACTGTGTTTGCCTTATGCCAACATCCATCTGATTGATGAGGTGTTTTGATTCTCAGCAGATGACTGCTCATTCCCATTAGGAACTCTGCACTCTGTAACTCTTAGTTATCTGCAAAGTTTGCTTATCTTTTTTTTTTGCTAACTTACCTTCAGACCAAAAGATACCTATGATTGGATTCAGAAAAACAAGTAAAACAGGTTAGGGATAAGTACATTCCAATTTTTCTGCAATCTAAGAATTAGATTAAGACCTGATTGCTGCAAAGGCTTATGAACCTCTATTACGTTCAGTAAAAATTTAACAATTGCATGATACACTCGTTACTCCAAGACTGAGGATCTTAGGTTTCCTATTATTTTTATCCCACAGTGAAAATTAAATCCAGAGCTCTGAAAAGATTACTGAAATGATTTTCCAATTAAGTATGGGAGGCTTCCACATAAAGACTGCAGAAAATATGCAAGAGACAACATTAAATTCAGCTGCCTTTATCCAGAAGGCCAAAGAAAGACACAAAGTGATGGGAATGTGGTCTGCCTCTTTCAAGTTCCTGACACAGGATAAATGATGCATGGATAGCCTTAACAGGATAGCCACAGGTACTCTGCCATACTCCTTCGAAGCTACATGTCCTACAGTCTCCAGCACAGAAGTCTCGTGAAAGCTGATTCTCTTTGTCACATTATGTACCTACATTAATGAATATAATGTTGTTCTGGTTTGCTGTGAACTAAGCAAATGGGAATCAGACCAAACTAGATAGACAGAAGATAAGGGTGACACTACTGAAATTATTATTATTATTATTATTATTGTTTTAAAATTAAACAAAGATACCTATTCCAAAGAGTGACAAATGCAGTGCACTTTCACATCATCTGTAAAAGTTAAAAATGCAAATATGCAGATATGTTATCCAGATTCCGAGTTCTGCAAGAGAAGGCCAACAAAGCTGTTACTTATGAAGTTTGGACTACTCAGAGCAGCCAATCCAAAAATTAATTATGTAGAAATAGTACATTTCTTTGCTTATTCATTACAGAAGATGCTCACTAAAAGATGTGATTTTTAATCGTTTAAGGAGAAGAAAACATCCTATTTCTATCCTTATTACAGATTTATTAATTCAATATCTACATTAATTTTTTTCATAATCCAAGCACATATATTAGACTTTGCCAAATAAGAATAATTTGACAAAAAAATTCTAGGGATCCTGAAGCTGCCCTTAACTTTGTTACACTGTAATTCTTGCACTCAGACATCATTGCTTTAATTAGAGGGCCTCGTTTTACTGTTCCACTACGGTTTGCCATGGCAACCTCACTGTTTAGTTGACTGCTTTGATTGATCATGTTGGATCGACTGGTACTGGACAAAATTCTCTTCCCAGAAATACTCTAAATATAATGGTTTCATTGTAAGCCTCCCTTTATGTGCTCGCAAGCTAGGTAAGTTTGGCATCACAGACTCAAATTTTTTGGCTGTATCTGTATTGCCCTAAGTTCTCCTTGAAATGCCTTCAGTGCCAAACTTCTCCAACCACAGGTTCCTTGGCTCTTGGAAAGAATATGACACCTATCCCAAATCCAAATACCAGATTGAGCTAGCATCATGAGACATTAATTACTATAAGCATGATTGGCATTCTCGTAAGGGTTTCTATGTAAACCCATGTCAAGAAAAGGACCAGCCCGAGCAGCCTTCCTATATAAAGTACAGCCCGGATTGCATAACCTCCTCAGGCCCAAGCTAATGTTGCCTTGCCTCCCTCCAGATTCATCAGGGAGCCAATCTATTCTGACCACTGTACATGTCCTCAGTTTTTACTTCCTTCTCCCTGCCTTTCTCAAGAAAACAGAAAAAACTGCATCCAAAAATCAGTCCTAGTAACCTCAGCCTCCGGCTTATTCCCTGTGGCTCACAACATTTCAGACTTACCACCTCTATTAAATCTCCTTGCTTTATTTGCTATCCTGAAAAGGATTGTTAGCTCTTGAATTCATTCTCTGATAGCCACAATTCTGTGTACAGAAATGCAAGCAAGCCTTTGCCCACTTTATCTCCTGCTGAACAGTTTTTGCTGTGTCTGATAGGAACTATCAAGTTCAAACAAATGGGGAGCAATTAGGAAAGAATGGAATTAAACATGCCTATGTCACAAAGCGTAAGTCAGAAAATTCAGAATATCAAGGCTGTTTCAAGCTGTCTCTACTAAGCATCTCAAAACTGAGGTATGAGCTTGCAGAAAGGCTCAGTTTGAGATGGAGACAGATAATTCTAGGTGTCTCCAGGTTAATGCTCCCATAGTCAGAGGAACTCTTCAAGGCAGCCAAGTCCCAAGGGAGTGACTTGGTTGACCAGCAGGAGGCTGACTAACACAGGGGTAATGTCCCCAGCTGAAGAGCACAGATCCCCTCTGTGCTACACTTGCCAGACCTTTAAAATTCTATTTAAACAGTCAAGTCAGAAATACCTGCCTACAAAAGAATGGATGGTTATACCTAACAAAGTGTATCTGACTTCAAAAGTAAATGGAAGATATGGGGTTTCTTCATGTCTGCAAATCATTTAAGTCCTGAATACAGATGTACATAACCAGGGTAGGAAATGTTACCACAGGGATTTATAACTGCCCACACAGAAAGCCAATGACATAACTGATTTAGAATTCAGGAGTTCATGGCTGTTTGCCCTAAGCTTCATCCACATGCCTACAGTCTGTCTCATTTGAATGAAGCACTTTCTACTTACAGCATGCTGTCATTTCTTTTTAATGTTTGTACTCAAATGAGAGGGACCATACTTGAATCACTGCCTCAGCCTCAGCATATAAATCTGACTCAGATCCATAGGCCTGTAAGCCATTTAACTTTGAAAGAGCACAGGAAAATGAAAATGAAAAACAGCTTTGCAATTTTGTACTGGGACAGGTCTATCAATATGGCTACAGAACTCTGGTTCTCCCAGACATACAGCACAAGAATTTAGAAAAAAACAGGTTAAAGGATGGCACAACTGCATCCTCAAAGGAGCTTAAAAGTTGGATGAAATGCAGCTGCTGAACCATTGGACCATGCACCGATTGAGTGCCTAGATGAGTCAGGGAAGAACTCCCACCTGCTCCAGGACAGGATTCTGGCCATCTTTTCTCTGGTGTTCAGGAACAACATGGGCTCCTAAAAAAATCAATAAACTAGCCTTCCTGCTGCTGAAATTGGTGTCCAACTTATTTAGGCCCACAGCTGAAGAATACTGATTTCATCAGATGTTTTTATTCTATGCACTGAGAACCTCTGAGAAACTCTAGACACAACCAGTAATTGACTCCCAAAATTTTGGCTATGCTGTGAGACAAAGAAGGGCTCCTAAGAATCCAGTGCTGAAAGCAGAAGTGTCAGCACCAAGACAAAGTACCTGGGTAGTCCTACAAGAAGTGCTTCACTCTATCCAGAGCTGCCTGGAGCTCCCAGTGTCTGCATTTTTTTGAGTTTTCAAGTCCTTGCTAGGACATGTCAGCACCACAGCATTAACAAAGGCATTGAAGGGTGGTGTTAGGTGTGGTTTTTCATATAGGACTGGCTGCAGGATCACAGGCTAGCACGTTCGCCCATTGCTGTGAACAAATGAATTATGGCTCAGTGAGAAGTGATAGAAAGGTCTGGGAAAAACGTGCTACAAGTCATAAAAGTGTTGTGCCCAGGTACCCATGTACAATGTGCGGTGTAGGTGTGCCTGGCAGAGCTTGAGTATGGATGCTCATAGGCTCCATCGGCCCACGGGCTCCCCAGGGAAGTGACTGCAGCACCAAGCGTGACAAGGGTTTGGACAGCGCTCTCAGGCACACGGTGTGACTCCTGTGGACGGTCCTGTGCAGGGCCACATGGACATACCAAACCCCTTCAAATATCCTTACAGCATCCCTGAGACACACAGGATCCTCTCCTGATCTTCACAAAGGCATTAAAGCTGTGACTGGCAGCGCAGTCCAGGCTCTTTACTACCACTGAACCCCTTGAATTACTCGGTGCCTATCCCAGTCCCCCACCAAACCCACACCCCCGCCTGCACCACGGCGCCGGCGGCCGCTGCCCGCCCTCGCCCGCCCCTCGCGCTCTCCACGGCGACCTGCCCGCCCCTTCCGGCCGCGGCTCGGAAGCGGCGGGGCGGGCCGGGCGAGAAGGGAAGCGGCGGTCCGGCCTGCGCCCTTGGCTTGCGCCGGCCCGGCTCTTCCCGGCCGGCTGCTGCCGTCGGGGGCTGCGCCGCTCGCTCTCCGCCCCGGCGGGTCCGAGGAGGCGGTGGCAGCAAATTTTTTTCATTTCTTGATGGACAGCTTGCTGTGAGTCAGTTTCAAAGCAAACAATGCTAGAAGACACCGCTAGTGGAGGTGTTGGCTATGGAATAACACCTTCTCAAAAGCAAAACAAAAGAGCTGATGCGGTCTGCTAAACCCTCTGCTTTTTATTAAGTCTTTTAGCCTCCTGTGCATTTGAGGATGTGACATTTGGGATAGCCTAGGAGACTGCTGCAATGGAGAAAAATACATGTACATATATGTATATATGTACGTATAGTATACATATAGGTATAATAGTATAAGTATATATACTAGGATACTACTGCAATAGGGAAAAGTATATGTGCATTTATTGCATAAATGTAATATTTACATTTACTTATTGCTTTACTGTTGAATAAAACTAATGCAAAATGATTGTGTAAAGTAGTAGTAGTCATTGATGTGCGAACCTCCGCACTAGCAGTGGATGGAGCACTTGTTCCTACTCTTGGAGGAAACTATGGTAATGAAATTAAAGTAGAATTAACCACCAGAAATGTTGTATTTAAAGAAAATGCCCATTTTGTTTCTCAGTGGTGTTTTTTTTTTCTCCTTGAATTTTTTGTTTTCAGTATCCCGAGTCTGACCATCAAATATGATTCTTTGCCTGCTACACAAAACTCCTTAAGTACTTCTTTTGCCATTTGGCCACATGGCTTCAACTACAATGGTAAGTTAGGATTTAGATCATATATTTTCAGACCTTTTTGCTCTAGTCTTGCTAGCTGTCTGGCTGATGAGGAGCATGCCACTAATATTTGACGTTTTCTTTTAAAAAATTGTTTTGCTTGTTACTGTTTTGCTGAATTCTGATATTTCCCTTTTTAGGAGTGTCTTCATAGCTTGTGGATACTTCTGATCACTTACTCACTGGCCAGTGCAGCGTAGGAATTGCCATATCAAGCTAGTGATGTTTTCAGTCAGGGTTGGTGGCAGGAAGTTGGGTGTATATAAATCCTGCTTCTGCACAGTAGTCTTGTATTCCCAGATGCTCATATTACCATGGATTTTTACCAAACGTTAAACAGTCAGTGAATTGAATATTTGAAATCATACCTAAACATAGGCATTGTAGATGTATCTGCTAGATATATTCTCTTATACAGAAAGCATCAGTATTTGACATTTTCATAAAAACACCTAGACATTTGAAAATTAAAATATTCTGTCATGGCAGGTTCTACCACACAGTAGCATGGTAAGTAGGTGGGGGGATTTTCATAAACAGGTAAGAAATTTTGTTTTAGGTATATTATATGAGTGTTTTTGTTGTATATTTCTTTGTTGTTCTCTTGTTGTTGTGTAGTATGGTTTCTCTTCACTGGATTCTATTCTAATAAAATATTATCTATGTAATAACTGGTGTTACCTCAAATTGGACATGGCTTGTGTGTCTTCTGTTCCTTGAGGCTAAAATAGAGCTGTTTGCTTTTAGAAGCAGCTGATAGGGATGGTTTAAACTGAGGGAATAGGACAAATGCATGTTTGGGAAGAGGTACCTATTGCAAATGTTCCTAACTTAACTGAATATTAGAGCTTGTCACGAGTACATTGCTGAGGACTTTATCCAGCTGCCACTGAAGTGAATGCATTGCTTCTCTGGACTTACCTGGAGATGAATCAAGCTTCTGGCATTCTCCTACAATACTTTGGTTCTTGATAGTGTCCTCTTTTTCCTCCCTGCCCGAAATCAGTTTCATTGTTCGGTTCATTTAGCAGCAGCACATTATTCCTGCACAAAGGAGGTCAGAGCTTAAGTGAGTACCAGAGAAGGAACATTAGGAGCCAAGGAAGACTTTTTTGGATTGGTTTTTTTTTTTTTGACACTGGTGCTTGTTTATTCTGGTTTGAAATGCTTCTCAAATTTTAGTCCAAGAACTCATAATTCTGATCTGTGAAGTTGTGGGCTCTTTTTGAAATAAAGGTATATCAACTGCAGATGTACTGAAGTAAAAAACATTCCAAAGCAGCTAAATTCATTAAAATAAATGGCATTGAGTATACCATGCTATGGGATATTGAGAAGCTTTTGCAGATTTTGTTGTGTTTCATGGGGTTGGGCAGACTTTTAGCCTGCCTTGGAAAAAGTCTCTAGTGGAAGCTGGTTTTGTTTCCTAGCCATCTAACAGTATATCATAAGGAACACTTCTTAAATTGTATTATGTGCAGAAATAATGTTCTGACCACAAGAACTTTGTTTCTATTTTGTGAAAAATAACTGTACCGATACTTGGGCACTGGTATCTAAAAGATAAATGTTTTCTTCCTGGACATCTGTTCAGGGATATTTTGGCCTATCCTTTCTTTTGAGTTAGTGACCAGCTTAACAAAGGAGATCAGGTTTTCTAGTAGTCATCTCTTAATTGTTTTGGATAGTATTTGTTATTGCATTTATTAGGTGTGATTTCCATTCCTGGTTTAACTCTAATTGCCTTTCATTGTTCTAAGGCTTCATAATCTAGCCAAGCCTTGTGATGCAGTTACGTGAGGTTTTAGTTAAGTTCAGTATGTGCCAAAGAATTTTTGAGCCCATCTTCTCATTATAAATTCGTGTTGTAGAGTTGTTGGGGTGTTTTAATGTATGAGGATGTTAAAAAAAGTAATATAATTTCTAAAAAACCCTTTGTCATTCTTGCAGCAACAAGCTTTAGAACTGGCATTGGATCGTGCTGAGGTAAGAAGCAGCTAAATTACTTGTTTGTACATAATTTATTGGTCTCAGAGTTATAAAAACACAACAGCTATTTTTTATTTCTCCTGAAAAGCAGAACCACATTATGTAAATATATACGTGTATTATCACATATATATGTAACACTGAGTTTGCAGAATTCTCACTGAAATTGCTGTCATGTATTTGTCTCTTACCCATTGTACTGAGAACATCAAATGCAATGGTGATAGACTGTGCAAGACTTGAGCTTTCCCCTTCTAAACCAGCAAATCTGTGTGCTGTGAAATAAGCAGGCAGAAATATATGGTAAAATCCTGTTTGTGTTTTTAAGGATAGTCTAATGAGAATGAAGGCAAGTGCCGTCACGTTCATATTCTTTAATGCTGTCATCTGATATAACAGTTACCTTGAACCCTGTTACGGGAAATACGTGTTCCTGTGAGAGAACATAAATTCTGAACAAGCTGTTAATTGAAATACTTCCAACAATAGAGATTTGGAAAAATCTTGTTAGAATATACACCACATTTACTGGAGGATGCTATCTCTCTTACTCTTTTTTAATTGAAATTTTTAATGTACATGAATTGCATTTATAATGCACAGCTCTATAGAGAAAAATAATGTAAATGCAAAAGGCAAAGGGAGAACTTCCTGAAATAATCATGTTGAAGAGTATTTGATTTGTAAATGTTGTCAAGCCAGTACGCATAACCTTGGTTGCACCTTAGTGTGTTAACCACATGAATTTCAGTAGTGGTAGCTAAGTAGAGTAGTGTTGTAGTGTTAGTTACTACTGGAATTAAAAAATATGAGTGTAGAATCAAAACCTTGCACGGAATTGATGCCATGGGCATGAAATGCTGTCTTTGACAGCTAAATTGAGCTGTGTTCTTGTTGATGACTGTAACATAAACCAGATTGTGTTTAGTGCACTTTTGGAACAGTCATGTACTGTAAGTGTTAATTACTTTCTGTATACATGGAATGCTGTCTGGTAATGATCTCTAGTTGTGTGGTAACTGGAATTAAATTTCTTTGTAATGTATGCTGGTTTCTTGTTTACTTTTCTCTTTTAGTATATCATCGAAAGTGCCCGTCAGAGACCTCCCAAAAGAAAATATTTATCCAGTGGAAGGTACCAAGAGTTTCAATATTTAGTTTCTTAATAGCATTTCTTTGATTTAATTTGGGTTACATGTTGAGTCTTTTTAATTTCAGAAAATCTGTATTTCAAAAACTTTATGATTTATATATTGAAGAATGTGAAAAGGAGCCTGAGATAAAGGTAAGTGGAAATTGCTGAAAAGCTTTTCATTTCTGTCTAAACAGGCAGGTTGAGAAAATACTTTGGTTTTAATTCCACTTGATTTCTTTGTTAAATGAAATATAAACCCTTCCTACTGTAGTAGTCACTTAAAGATAAGACCACCTAATGTGAATAGTAAGGCCTAGACTGGCTCAGTGAGCTGTTCATTCTGTCTTAATCCTGTGTCACCGAAGGGCACTTGTGTTCAAGTTCAGGGCCAGTGTCAATGCCATGTGCATTGTTGTTTCACAATCAGTTGCTTAGTATGACTGCTGTGGAAAAATGTGGAACATTTTTCAGACCCTGTAATTTTGTTGTAAATTCAGATTTATTTCTCCAATTGTTGGTAAGCTAAGAAGTTTTGTGAAAAATTTTCATAATGTTAGATAAGAGACTCAAACAGGCTTATCAGTTCTACATATAAGGTGTAAAAGGCACAAATTACTTTGCTAAACTCTGAAGGTCAAATTGAACAAGAATATAAAGCTGTGGAACCTGCTGCTTTTTATTGCTGCTTTCAAGGAAGTAAAATGAGTGGGAAGACAAATGAGCACTCAGGTTAACTCCCAGTTAATGGTTGTACCCAGAGCTGGTATTCAGAGATGAAATATGGTCTCCAGCCAGAGGCTGTAAAATTATCTGAGGTTCAGAATTCATTGTCTTAAGTTCTAAGGGGATTTCAAATGTTTCAATTTGTAGGATGTTTATGTGGTCTCTGAAACACACCAAGAAATTATAAAAATCTGTTATACATTGAAAAGGTAGTTTTACAGTTAAATAAGGGTATAGTGTCTATGGCTGCTGGATCAGATTTCAGCAAATAAAGACAAGAAAATGCAATTAAGGAAGCTTCCAAATGTTCCAGTTCATTATTTTAATCCTGCAGAGAAATGCCTTCTTCTGTTAGGAATATTTGAAAGTACTACATATTTTGTTATTATCAAACAAGTTGTACTGAATTGATGATGTTCGTAGAAATGATATAAATAATGGTGCATTGTAGATTTACAAGTACAACATTTTAGCATAATTTTATTGACTCTGTCTGTGGGCTTCCAGTTCTAAGATTTGTAATTTAAATGAGTGGGATTTTTTTACAAAAATCTGTATCTATAAGCATGCGTGATAATACATAACATGTTTATTCTGCTGAATATAGTAAATTAAATTTAACTGGGCTTGTTTAGATGTGTAATTTGCCATTAATCTAAGTCATATTCTAGCAGTGTTTTTATTTTTGCTAATTATTTCATAGTACTATGTTCATGAGCAATGTTTACTTTTAAAGCAGAAGCTGAGACGAAATGTGAACTTACTTGAGAAGCTGGTTATGCAGGAAACGTTGTCATGTCTGGTGGTAAACCTCTATCCAGGAAATGAGGGTTATTCACTGATGCTCAGGGGAAAAAATGGTTCAGGTAATATTTTGCTCTTGAATTTTTAAAAATACTCAGAACGCTGTATAAATTTTTAGAATGTGTTGTTGTTTACATTTATGTTTTACCTCGAACATAATTCCAGTGGGGGGTGGGAGAACAATCAACTGTACTTGAGCTAAAAATTTACATAAAGCTCTGAGCTGTTTATCTGCAGACAAAATCTGTAGATAGGAGTCTTTTTTATAGCCTTCCAGTCTCTTATTTCCCCTTTAGTTTCTGCAGCTGCGTATGCAAGTTTCTCTCACTTCAGGTTCCTTCTGTCAAATTGTTTCTTTCACTGCTTCCCATGTCTAGATCTGCCTAGAAACATTTGTGTTCCACTTTGGTGGCATTTTCATGCCATTTGTACTGCCATGGGCAGTAAGAGCATACATTATATCACCTGGAAGGAAAAGCTAGCACAATAAGAGCAAACTAAAACTCTTTAAGTATAGAAATGGATGTAAAAAATAACAGAATCCAAAAATATGGTATGTGTCACCTGGAAGGAAAAGCTAGCACAGTAAGAGCAAACTAAAACTCCTAAGTATAGAAATGGATGTAAAAAATAACAGAATCCAAAAATATGGTATGTGTGGATAGGTTTCTGCCAATCCTGCTTTTTCCTGTGGCAGGTTTGTTTTAGATTTCTTAATGTGCGAACTTGAAACACAAAGGTAATGTGTTTTGTTTAAATTCAGACTCTGAGACCATTCGTCTGCCTTATGAAGAAGGAGAGCTGCTTGAATACTTGGATGCAGAGGAACTACCACCTATTTTGGTTGATCTTTTAGAAAAATCTCAGGTTTGAAATTTTTGTTTTCAAAAAGAATTTAAGTACTGCACCCAGATAGACCTTGATTTTTTTGAGCGGTTCACATAGATGATTGTAAGCACAAGACACTTGTGCATATGAAACTGTAGTATTTAATGCCCCAAATAAATATTTTATTGATATATAGGAAAAAAAACAGTACTTACTACTGAGGAGAGGGAGATAAAAGAGATTGCTATGATTATAGCTGTGAAACATCTTCAACTCTGCTCTAGCAATATTTCCTTTGTTCTTTCTCATTATAGAATGTTTGTCATGAGAATTTCTTACAACTGCATTGCTGGCATATGAAAACACTGCATTTGAAGTCTATATTTTAGGTTATGTCTAGGACAAGCATGTCTGTGTACATAGAAAGATCTGCTGGTCTGAAAAACTTAGTCATTAGTTTTATTCCTAGTTTCACTGAATTTTATATGTTATATAGCAAACTTCTTTGTAGAGGCAGGGGAAGATTGGTAAATGCTTGTTTATTCAAAAGCTGGTGTTTTTCTTTTAACCAGGTTAATATTTTCCATTGTGGATGTGTGATAGCAGAAATACGGGACTATAGGCAGTCTGGTAACATGAAATCTCCAACCTACCAAAGCAAGCACATTCTTTTGCGACCTACAATGCAGGTAAAGAGGAGCCTTAAGTAATTTGTCAGTGTTATGGTAGTTCATAGAATGGAGATATATAAGTGGAACATATATTATCAAATCCTGTTATTCATAATGACCGTTATGTCTTTTTCCTCAGACTTTAATTTGTGATGTGCATTCTATAACAAGTGACAACCACAAATGGACACAGGTAGGTTGAGGTTATTTAAAAATTTTGCAGTGATGTCATAAATACACAACAAAACAAAAATTTATACATATTTGTAATTTGTTATAATTTTTTCCAGTTTTTTCTAAGATAATGTCTACATCCATAGGTATATAGGAACTTTACTACTGTAAAAGTTTTCATATTTTTATATTTATTAATATCTGTGTATATTACAGGAGGACAAACTCCTACTTGAGAGCCAACTTATTTTGGCTACAGCAGAGCCTTTGTGTCTTGATCCTTCAATAGCAGTGACCTGTACTACAAACAGACTCCTGTACAACAAGCAGAAGATGAACACTCGCCCCATGAAACGGTAGTTTGCAATATGAAATATGTTTTCAAGGAAGATTATAAGTAATGCTTTATGTGAAAGTTTAGCTCCTCGTAGGTAATACCTATTTAAATAGGAATGTGTGAGAAACAGTCAAGAAATTATATCATGTTTTTAAGTGCTCAATATTGTATTTTATTTTGGTTACTAGTAGATACTGTAGTGTGCTCATTTTGGTATACCAAAGGAAAGTGTATATATATTTTCTTAACATAATCAATTTTAGTGCAGTTTGGATTTGGGGTTTTGTGTAAGCAGAGTCAGATGACAGCTCAATAATGTAAAATACATAAACAAATATATTGCATATTGGTCGCTGATTTGTTAAAAGCTGCATACAAATTTCATCCTGAATGAGCAAATGAAAATAATTATTTGTTTGATATTGAGGCTAAACGGAAGTGTAAGTGTATAAGAATATTGGAAAAATTTAAAATAATGTGGTATGCACTATGTACAAAATACTGATATATTTTATAATACAAAATTATTTCACTTTTGTGCATGGTTGGGCTCTTCCTTATTTCCACACAAGCTTGAAACCTTTGTTCAACGTGTTTTTTCTATCACAAGAGTTACATTCACTCTGCAAATAGAAATGCATTAATGGTCTGTCACAATTACTGAAATATTTAAAAATAAATTTGCATTGAAATACTATGCTAGTACCAAAACAGCAGTAATTTCTAAAAAAAATATAAATAATGAATTTGATCAAGCTTTCTCTGAAATTAAAGCTTGATGGTCAACAAATATTCCACTAGAAAAATAGGAAAAGGGATTAAATGAGTGTCCAGAACAGCATTACTGAACCCATGAGTTTGTCATGAAACAAAGACTAGAGAGTAGTTACTGTCATTATAACTTTATAGTTACATAAGTAGGACAAGGATCATTTGATAGAACTGCAATTATGATAATAGATAAATATTTTAAGCTTGGCAGCTTCTTAATTACTCATTTTGATGATGTACTTAAATCAGGCATTTAAAAAATAACCACATTTTTAGTGCTGAAACAGATGAACAGAACACTGGTATATTTTTATAAATATGAAATCATAATTTAGAGTTGTACAGTGTACTCCAGAAAAGCAATTTTAAATTAGTATTTAAAAACTTATTTGTCTCCATGTAAGTAGCAGTTCCCTGCATAGTTTTGGTTTTGTACAGGGGCAGTGGAGAAGTTAATGTTGATGGTTTTACAAGCTTAGGTGTCATTTTGCCATAGGTGCTTCAAAAGGTACTCAAGGTCCTCTCTGAACAGACAGCAAGAAGTAGCTCACTACTCAACTCCACCTCAGCTCAGACTACTTGACTACTTACAGAAAAGGAAGGAGAGGAAAACAGCCCAGCAATATGACCTCAAAATTTCAAAAGCTGGAAATGTAAGTGTTCTGAAAAGTAATGTAATATACTCCTAACTATTTAATTAAAGGATTTAATATGTTAATCCTGTTTTTCATTTTCCAGTGCGTAGATATGTGGAAACAGAACCCTTGCTACTTGACTGCTCCTTCTGAAGTAGATGTAAGACCACCAATTGTTATGTATAATTAGCAATTATTTGAAATTGTATTATATGAAGAAGTCTCTAAGAAGTAAACAGTATCAAAGAATGACCTTTAAAAAGCAGGAGTGACTTTAACATTTACAGTTACTTTTCTGTACCATAAGGTATAGACACAAGTTAAGCCACACTGTAATGTATTGCAGTTGCATCAGAATAGTCTGGATAGATTAATCAGTACAAACAAATTGTTAGCATTGTTCTTCTATGGACTCAATGAGCACATGTCTATTTGAAGTTGTCTGATTGTATGAAAACCTAAAAAGCAAATGAGGTTTGTAGATTGTTTAAAAATTAGTCACTTCTCTTTCATCTTGGTAGAAATTCCTATATTTTGATATATTATACTATGGGACATTAATATTTTGAAAAGTTTTAGACTTTATGCAGAGAATTGTAGTTGAGAGTTGTTTTTTTCGCTCTGTGTGCATTTTTCTCTTGGGGGCATTCATATTCTTACTTTCTGGCACTGCCAGAACACATACTAGTAATGTACAGAAGGGACTCGGAATATTCTGAATTGGAAGGGATCTACAAGGATCATCAGGTCCAACTCCTAGTCCTGCAGGACTGGACAAGTCCCAAAATCATAAAACGTGTCTTATCCAAATGCTTCTTAAACTCTCTCAGGCTTGGTGCTGAGAGAGGCTACCCTGGGGAGCCTGTTCCAGTGCCTAGCGACTCTCTGGATGAAGAACCTTTTCCTAATATCCAACCTAAACCTCCCCTGACACAACTTCAGGCCATTCCCTTGTGTCCTGTCACTGGTCACCAGAGAGTTTAGATCAGTGCCTGCTCCACCTCTTCCCTTCACAAGGAAGTTGTAACTGCAGTGAGGTCTCTCCTCAGTCTCCTCCAGGCCAAGTGACCTCAGCCACTCTTGATACAGCTTCCCCTCAAGGACCTTCACCATCCTCGTGGCTCTCCTTTGAACACTCTCTAATAGCTTTATATCCTTCTTATATTGTGGCACCCAAAACTGCCTCAGCACTCAAGGTGAGGCAGCCCCAGCTCAAAGCAGAGTGGAACAATCCCCTCCCTTGCTCGGCTGGCCATGCTGTGCCTGATGCACCCCAGGACACGCCTGGACTTCCTGGCTGCCAGGACACTGCTGACTCATATTTGACTTGCCACCAACCAGGACGTCCAGGTCCCTTTCCACAAGTTTTCTCTACTATGCTGAGATTTTTTAAAAGACAATAGACTAGACAAGACTGTAGCTTTGGACATCATAGGGCCAGTAAGAATGCAAATGACAGTGTAAGTTTCTACAAAACAAACCTCTTTTCACTTCAAGTTTGTTGTACCTGACTTAATCAGAGGCTTTAGGAATGACTGTTATTGTGAAATTACTTAACCATTCCACACTGTGGGCAATTATTTCAATCTGTAATCTGAAACCATGTTTCACTCTTGTGTTAAGTTTAACATAACAAATGTGGTATAACATTATAAAGTTCTGAAGGTTCTTAAATTATGTTTCCTTGAAGAAACGTAGGAGATAACATCGGGGTTTCTTTCTTTTCTGATCTATTTTCTTTAAGGTGGAAAAATATGCCAAAGTGGAAAAGTCTATCAAGTCTGATGACTCACAACCAACTGTCTGGCCAGCACACGTGAGTAATTTAGACCTTTGGCCAAACTGCACTGTCTCTAGTTGAAATGCCTCTTATTTCAACAAAATCAATGTGATGTGGAATAATCTTCCCTCCCCCAATTTAATTAATCTTTCATGTGTTATGGAGACATGGGAAGATTACCAGAGATACTTATAATTTTGTACAGTAAAGCAAGCATGTGATCAGTCTGATTTTCTCAGATTTTCCAGAAATACAAGGATAAGCAACTTGTACTAAAGAAATTATCATAATTTGCATGGAACTCTGCACAACAAATTGCTTTCTTTACTCAGACATTCAAAAGCTGATGAAGAAGAGCTTTATTGAAATCAAAATGTTACATTTTAAAAGAGATTAATATAAATGCCTGTTACAAAAAAACTTCTTCTGCAACGTTTAAGTTGAACCTTAAGATTTTTGGCACAAACGATGTGATTTGATCAGAAGTAGTAATTTAATATAATCATTGATTAATTCACGTTAATAATAATTAATTCATTGATTAGTTATGTGATTAAATCACAAAATGGATTAATTTTTTATAATTTCAGAGGCATGCCACTAGCTTTATTAACAGCATGTGTCATGATATTTTTGTAGTTGCCTGTTGGAAAAAAGTAATACTTCCTTATAGAACTTGATGTTCAGCTCCAACATTTTACTCTCAACGTTTTTTGCATGGTCATAATTTATATAAAACTGTTTCCATATATGTTTACCCAGTCTACATTTCCATGTCTAACATGATTGTTTGGGATTTGCAATAACTTGGTATTTTTAAGAGGTGATAAATCCTTTTCCTCTCATCCTGTTAATGGAACTTCTGGAATCACTTCCATTTTAAATAATGCACCTCTTCCTGTAGAGTGTTACTTAAAGTTACTTATAGCATGTTTCTTACTCTGTTTTGTATATAGAGTTGGTCTGCTTTACTTGCTGTTTCAGCTAAGGCTTGTTCAAGACTTACTAGGTCATTCTGTCTTTTTAGGAAATGAAGGATGATTATGTGTTTGAATGTGAAGTTGGTAATCAGGTTCAAAAAACAAAACTGACCATTTTTCAGTCTCTTGGCAATCCCTTGTACTATGGTAAAATTCAGACGCTCAAAGGTGATGAGGAAAATGACAACCTATTAACTCCATCACAGTAAGTTACATGTTCTTTTTTTAAACTATGCTGTGATCAGTAGGTGGGGGAAAACAAACATTACTTGTCATTTTCAGTCACAAAAATACTCTAGAGCTAGTAGTCTGACTTAAGATTTTTTAACCAAAAAAAAAACTAAACCAAAATGTGTATAAGTAACCATCATATTTCAAATGTACTTTTGCATTAAAATGGTACATTCTTTTACATTAAAGATACATTGGAGGGAAAATAAGACCATGAAAGTTGTGGAGACTATGAGATGTTGTTGCACTCCTTTTTGGTGATACTCAGAATCTTGATTGTTCTCAAAATTTGCCTGATGCTATGAAAGCGTAAGATGTGACTATATTCTGTTTACTCTTAGATCCAGTTGAAGTAAATAAATGAAGAAAAACATAAGCTTCTAAGAAGCTTCATAATTTTGAATTGTTTGTAATATGCTGGTTTTGGCTGCGGTTCTACAAAGATTCACTGCTCTTGGCTGTTTTTGTTGTATATACCAGATTATTTGTGTGGAGGAACCCATGCAGCAGAGTAGAGCATATAAATTTCACTAAGGCAAGGAGCAGTGAGACTGAGGAAACCTTTTAGTTCTGCTAATGAAAGTTATTTTTATCTTCTAGTATGTAATCATTCTCTTATTTTTTATGAAAATCTTAAAACATCCTGAGTTTTAAGAATATTTTATCCCTAGACTTGAGCTATTCACTGTTTGTTTCCATACTGTTGTGGTTTAACTCCAGCTGGCAGCTAGGCACCATGCAAACTCACTACCTCCTCCCCTGACCTCCTTGGTGGGATGGGGCAAAAAATAGCAAGGGTAAAAGTGAGGAACCATGTGGCTTGAGATAAGGACAGTTTAACAGGTCAAGGAAAGCCTAGACATGCAAGCAAAATAAAACAAGGAATTCATTCACCGCTTCCCATGGGCAGGCAGGTGTTTGCCTGTCTCCAGGAGGGCAGAGCCCCATCGCACCTCATGGTTACTGGGAAAGACAAATGCCTTCTCTTTAAATGCTTCCCCTATCCTCTCTGCCTTTTTACCCTGGCTTTATATGCTGAGCATGGTTCTATATGGTATGTGTGGAATATCCCTTCCTTTGGTCACTTGGAGTCAGCTGTCCTTGCAGTGTCACTTCCCCACTTCTTGTACACCCCTAGCCCTTTTGCTTGTGAGAGACTTTTGTCAATATGGCTTAGGAGTAGCTAAAACACCCTTGTGTTACCAACACTGTTTTTAGCACAAATCCAAAATAGCCCCGTGTCAGCTACCGTGGAGAAAATTAACTCTACCCTAGCCAAAACCAGCATACATCCTTAGTACTGCTCTTTTTGGAGCAACAGTGTTTAAATTAGAGTTGTGTAATAAGGCTGGGAATTAAATTAATTTAGGGGTATTAAATGCCTGGAGGGTTTTGGAAATCATTGCTAAGACACTAACAATAAAGTTCATGAAAGCTTGGGTAACTCATCCTTAGCAAACTGTCATATGAAATGAAAGGTGAAATAAACATTTTTGTTGTTCAGTAGAATAAAATGGTTTTTTTAACTTTTTTTTTTTTGAGCTGGAGAAAGTTCTGTAAAGTTAAAGAAACATAGCAATAAGCTTGCAAGCCATAAGTGTTACACAAAAGAGAGATACTTACTTAGAAGGTCTGGAAATTCATGGGGAATTGGAATTGGCATAAGTGAAATCAAGCAATGGAAACTAAATGTTTGTTAAAATATTACGCATAGGACTGTTTTTGACCTCTCCTCAGCATGTTTGTATTTCAGTCTGAGTGTACTGGTATGGTTTATACATAACTTTTCCTTTGTACTTTTTACATAAATAATTCTGTAGCAGTTACTCACTTCCATTTTTTAAAAAATATAAAATCCAAAACTTCTATATTCTGCCTTTTGCTTTGTAGGTAATTTACTGTTAAAGGAGACGATATTAGATCATATGTGTATATTGTATACATAGTTAGGAAGTTAAGTGTGTATTTCAAATACTGAATGATACTCAGTCCATTGAGTGGATACATTATCATTTGTATTTCAAGCAGGTATGAAAAAAACACAGCACTGCCATTTGTTTGAAGTTTTGTGATTACAAAAATATGTTCTTCTAGTCCAGTTCATGACTGAAAATGTACTTTATATTTTAGGTTCCTTATTGGTTCGAAGACTGATGCTGAAAGGTAAATTAATACAGTTTGTACAGCTATGTGGCTTGATGACAAATAATAAATTTTGTTCCTTTTTGGCAGTCATGACTGCCAGTGTTACAGTTATGGAAACAGATGCAGAACAAATGAAAAAAATAAGAGGAATTAGTCATCATATCAAGAAGTAGAATAGTGTGTAGTTTCTGTATTTAACAAGGAAGGAAGAATAGAGGACATCAAATACGTGAGTACACCTGAACTCTGAGCACTTAGCAGTAATTTCATCCTAACATTTGGCATGGTAAATTAGCAATCATGGAAATAGCTCATTTAAACTTGTCATTTGAAGTGTAATCAAGGATTTAAGACTTATACACCTTCATTTTGTGTATTGCATATGTCTTGAGTCTGCTTTCCTAGAGAAGCAAATAATAGACCAATTTTTCAGTATATTTTAGTTGTAGAATGAGTAGGAGTAGCAATTCAGGGGTAACTGAGGCAGCAAAATAAGTGGTTTTTTTAAGTGTTTGTCAGAGTACATCACATTAGATTGCCTGTGCATATAAGCACAGAACCTTTAAAAAGGAACCTCTGTCAAAGCCAGGTGTGGTTTTGTACCTCCATAGGATACCGCTGGCTACGTACATGCCATAGCTCTTATGCCCATGCACCCTTATGTGCCTGGCAGGGAAATGAGTCTTTGATTTGATCAAAAATCATTAATAATGTTCTTTTTTTAAATAAGTAATTTTGATGAAGAAACTCTTTGCTTTTGTTCTCTCCTACCTCCTTTGTGCTGATACTTTTGCATCTTGTTCTGTAAGCTGAACTGCGGAGATTGGCTGGCTGAAAAGTAAAACAACAGTATTACAAGAGGCTAGTTTTAACTGGGATTTCCGCATCATGTTTATCACTGGGTTGCACAAGTCCTTTCATCAGAATAAGCAACAGGATTTCAGTGGCAAGGATAAGAAGAAACAGTAGAGGAGTGCAGGACTACCTTTTCGAGTACATGGCATTTTACTACCCTGATTTCGCCGATTTTTATGTCAGTCTAAAATCTAATTGCTACAAAAAGTGCACTGCCCACTTTCCTCTGTCATGTGTGTCAGAGCCCTTGCTTATCTCTGCATTAGTCAGGTAACAGCATATGACAGAAGCAGGGCTACATCAAAATAAAGAGTATTTCATCACATTTAGGTGTGAGGTAATGGAAATATTCCAGCTGGTTTTCACCGAGGTCCAGTCTGCCAGAGTGTAAGTGACCACAGCACTTCAGGTTTATATTTCAAGGTCATTTTGTATATTCCACTCATGTTTGTGAAACAGTATTCCCTCAGCTTGGTTGTCTTAGATTAGTAGAGATGTAGTATCTTATTCAGATAATTTGATAGAACAGTATTTTAAACTTGTTTCCCTGATGCTTTATCATATGTCTGTTATAATGCTCACAGGGGAGTATTGTTCAGCCCTGCATTTAGACTCCTCATCTGACACAGACCTCAAGCTGAAGGAGGGTTGACTGTTTCACAGGCAGCATAACCAGAAGAGACATTTTTATAAAATATTCTGGACCTCTGTAAAAAAGGGGGAACGGGATCCCTTTTGACTGATATCCCAAAGATCTGCAGCTGCTTTTGGGAATGGAACTGTTGTATTGTTTTCTATATTCCTCCAGTAGAGTGTTTCTTACACTGTATTTTGTATTAGGAAAAAAAAGAGATTAAAAGTTACAATTAAATAAATTTAAGAGCCCAGGAATATAATGTTGAAAGATACAAAGAGATATAAGTATGTTTTATATATGTGCATCTCTATGTTATATAGAGATATGCTTACACAATATATAAAATATATTACTATAACATATAGAGTTATGTGTTTATCTCTAAGTATCTACTTTGGAAGTTCAAATTTGTTAATCTTTTTATGTCCTTATTGTTTGTTTCAGGGTGGTGAACCAGTACCAGGAGTTAGTGCAAAATGAAGCTAAATGTACTGTGAAAATGTTTCATAATTCAAGTGGATCAGTCAGTCGTCTTTCTCCAGGGAAGGAAATGGAAGTGAGTTTATCAGGCTACAAATTTCTCTTATTTGCACTTAATTATTGAATTATTAGAATAAGTTTTGCTATCCACATTTAACAGTAAAATAAGCTAAAAATGTTATCCTGAATGAATTTTTAAATGCATTATGGTCATGAACATTCAGTGTGAGTATATTGAAAAAGTTAGTGGAAAGCATTTATATTTTCCATGTTCAGATGTTGTCTTTTAGCTGTTTTGAGGGGTGAGGGGTTGGGTCTGAATCATGTAGCTCCAAAGTTTTGTTTTAGCATTTTCCCCTGTTCAGGTGAACTTCTCATAGTGCAGTATAGTAAAATGCAGCTGTGTGTCTTGTTTTACAGGTCAGTAAACACAGAAGCAGATGGAGTAGCTGAACTTCTTTTACCTTTAGAATTTTAAATTATTTTGTCTTCAATTTGAAGAGGAAAACTTAAAAAAAACCACCAAAACAAAACCCAATAAAAACAAAAGAAACAAAAAGCCAAAGGCAAAAAACCCCCAAACATACAAAAAAACCACCAAAAAAAACCTCCAAAACTCAAACCCCATCAACTTTAAAGTGTGTATGTTTACATGCACATACATTTCTACATTTCCAGTATAAACCCTTGCATTCCCAAATTTTCCTGCCTGTTGGCATTGCCTTGCATGTATTTGCTGCTTCTGGCTTTGTTTGGTCAGTCAGTACTTCAGCAGTGAGCTGTATGTTATACTCCAGCTAGTAAATGAAATTTGTATCCCCTGGGGTATTTCCTTGACATCTTTCCCCTAAATACCCACTTAAAAACTCCAGCAATGTTTTTGTGAAGGAGGTAGTTCCTGGTGTCAGGCAGACCAGCAGCATTCCAAGGCCAGCAGTTGCAGAAAGGGATATGGATGTTTCTGTGTATGTGTGCACACACACACACGCATGTGTGTAATATACATTAAAATAATATAATAAATGGGTGGAAGGGTGCTTGCCAAAGTCAACTTGTCTGCCTATCCAAGCCCCTACTAAAAGCTGGACTAAAGTTACTCAGGTTACTATATTTAATGATCTAGTTGGATGATGGAATGGGGCATTGGTCTTTATTTTCAAAACTAAGAAAGCAGATTTTAATTGAAGAATGGGAAGGTAGTCCTCAGAATTCTCCTCAAAAGATTCTTTTTTATAAGCAAGCTATTAGAAACATGTAGAGGGACTGTCTCTTATTACTGAGAATCAGTGGAAGTTAAGCTCCCCAAAAAGGGTGATTCTGCACAATGCTCTGATTTTTTAGCTCATGCACATTTAATTGAGGCTCCAGTATTGAAATACTCCATCCACTAAATTGCCAGTTTCATTTCCTAGTTTCAGCAGTTTTCAAACTGTATGTTTGTTTAAACATTACTGTCATTTATGGATATCTGCTATAAGGTAAAAACACACAGACTATAAGTGCATTTCACTGTTGAGTGCATTTCACTGTTGAGTCTTTAGACAATGTCAGCTTTTGGAATTATGGATTTAATTCTGGTCCCACACATTGGGAAAATGTGTGTTGATTTATCTGCATTCAGGATTTTCCTATATTTGAAATCCTGCTCCCAGAATGAAGAGTTCTGATCCTGTTCTTTAAGTCTCTCTTGGTTGAAAATGGCAGGTATATACAGAATGAATTAATGAAATTATGTAATTTTTCAAATAAAATCTAAATGTTTTATTATTTCAGGTGTATTCATCACTTTTGTGTTTGTGAAAATTACTACAAAAAATCCAGAATTATGGAGAAAAGTGAAACTCTTTAATTATTTATTTCTTTGCTCAGTTTAGTTTTTTTACTAGCACTTTCATGCTGCTTCTTGATGGTCAAGACTTTATCTAAAGAGAGTTCATCATAGGTTATTTTTTTTAAATAAATATGTAAGCATCTGAAATTGCTGAAAGGAATGTTGTCATAGTTCTGAGAAGCCTTCATACAAATCAGTTGAATTGTCTTTTCTGTCAGCTATGTGAAAGCTCTCATCATTGCTGTGGTAGTGTTAATTTCTCTTTCCTCCCAGCAGCCAGAAAGTGTGTCAGGCTCTGTTCAGTCTTCAGTACTGGGGAAAGGTGTAAAACACCGACCTCCTCCTATCAAATTACCTTCAAGTTCAGGAAGTAGCTCTTCAGGTAATTATTTTTTGACTCAAACATCTAATTTTAATGTGTTCTGCCTGTTGTAAAATGAAAGGATAGCCCTTTAGTGAAGATTTAATTTAAAAATACCAGAATCTTATCTGTGAGAAGAGCATGGGGTTTTTTGGTTGCTTTTTTTTTTTTAATTTGTGATTATATTGTTCACAAAATTGTATCCTAATATTCAAGTGAACATGTACTCACAGAATAGTAATGTATTTTAATTTTGCTTTTTCAGGTAATATTTTTAGTTCACAACAGTCAAGTGGCCATCTAAAATCCCCAACTCCACCTCCTCCCTCTAAGCCTCCTGGTCTTTCTCGGAAACAATCTATGGATCTTAATCAAGTTAGCATGCTCTCTCCAGCTGCCATGTCTCCTGCGAGCTCTTCACAAAGTGAGTCACGACCTAAATTCTCCATTAAATCTTAGGCTTTTGCATAAATGCTTCCTGAGATAAACTTCTTAACCTGTGGAATGATGAAACTTAAGTGTACAGTGTACCCTAAATTGTATAAGTTGTGCAGCTTTAGGCAGGTCTCTTGTTCACTGTATGTATTTTATGTTTATTGTAACTGTGTTCGTTTTCTGTATATATATGTATGCACCCTCTGTGTATACGTTTTAATACATTTTATGCAACTAGCATGATCTCCTCATATATGAAAGGCTGGTAGATTATGTGATGAGATAAATTCCAAAGTGTAGATTTTTTTTCCTCCGGTGTAAAAACAATATGTTAGATCAATTTGCCTTTACATTATTTAAGCATCTGGTTTTTTAAATGTTATAGGAGCTGGTGCAGTTGTGTATCTGTGTATGTATATAATCTGATCAGTCCCGAGGTGATGATACAATAAACGATAAGATGATTTTTTAAAAACACTCCTACACTGTTTTACAAATCATTGCTGATTGCAAGTGTGGTGGTGATGCTGCTGATGATAGCACCATATTCTCAGGTGTAAAAATGGAAATTTCAATCAGAAGTGACATCCTAGTTAAAGTATTTTCATTAACACTGACAGGATCATTGTAATCTTAGCTGTAGATCATAAATGTTTCTAAAACATGTATGTGTCTTGAGCCATTTCGTGAACAGATCTGTACAAATAGGAAACATAGCGGCAGCTTCTCAATTTTTTTATGAATAATTGTATACTGCACATTCCAGTATCCTGCATGGTATTATAATATGCTTTTTGCATTAAATAATTTAAAATCTGGGTAGCGCAAAAGGTGTAACTTTTCTGCCTTCTTGTTTTTGCACAAGATAAAAAAGAAAACTTAAGTTTTCTTCCAAAATAATGAGTCTGGTTTTATGTTAGTGTTATGAATTGTGTAAATCTGCTGCACACAGTTACTTTAAGGCTCTGGTCACCATTCATATTTATTTCCTTTCTTTCTGCAGGACATGAAAGCTTAAAAAAAAAAAAAAAAAGAAAAACAAAAAGAAACCAGCTCAAGCTTTTTGGGGGTTTTGTTTTGTTTTGTGACCCTATTGATAGATTTTGCCTACTGCATCAACAACAAATACAGCTGTATGTGTTACATTTAAGTAGAAAGAATTACACAATAGCTTTTAAAGATGCAGTATTATCCTCTTCTATGGTTCTTAAATATTAGACAGTTGCTTTTTATTTGGTTGATACTTGGAAAATTGCAGTTTGACTATCTGATGAAATTTAGATCAGCCTCATGATCATTGAAATTGTACATGATCTTGCTGACTCTTGTTTTCCATTGTAAGTTTTTAACACAACCTATTGTGCAGGCAGTACATGGACACTATTTGTTTAACAGTTTAGGATAAACATTAATTAGGTTAAAATGGTCACTAAGAAATTATTTTAAGTATTTCTGAATAGAATTATGACTTGATGGATTATGGAAGCCTTAAAGGAAAATAGAAATTGGTGTATGCCACAAGGAATGAAGCATGGAGAATGGATTTTCTTTGTGATTCTACTGCATCCTTAACAATGAGTGTGTGCTGCAACACTTGTCATGTAGAAATTAACACTTGCAGTCTAAAAAACAGAAGAAATTGTCAATGCTAAGTAAGATTCCATTAACCTTATACAAAAAGGACTGGCCTTTTATAACAAACTAGCACTTTTTATTTTTCTCAATGAGCAGGGTCTGGAACTCCTAAACCATCTACTCCTACTCCAACCAACACCCCTTCATCGACCCCACACCCTCCTGATGCTCAGAGCTCAACTCCTATTACCCTTTCTGCCACCCCTACTCCCCAAGATTCAGGCTTCACCCCTCAGCCCACTTTGTTAACCCCGTTTGCTCAGCAGCAAATGTCTCTGAGCCAGGCACTGCCTGTAATGACCATTCCTCTTTCCACCATGGTAACATCCATTACTACAGGAACAACATCCACCCAGGTCATGGCAAACCCTGCAGGACTTAACTTCATCAATGTAGTGGGCTCTGTGTGGTAAGTCTTTTGTTATGATGGTTTCTTAATTTGCCAGAGGGGTTGGTTTGTTGGTGGGAGGGGATGTGGTCCAGGACTGTCCACCATCCATTAGGGTAAATATTTTTCAGGATCTGCATTACAAAAAAGATCACTCACTTTGTAATTACGAAGTGAAGAGACACTAGAAACCATTTGTATTTCTCAAACCAGTAGAAGTCACCTACTATTAGATTATTGAAAAGATTATTAAGAAAGGCCTTTATTGCTTTCATCTTTGTGATGAAAATTTCTGAAAGCTTTATCTCAATTTAAGTGATTTCTGAGGTTTTGCTCTGTAAGTTTGAAAACTTTTTATTAATCAGAGGGGAGGTAGAATATCATATGCAGACCAATCTAAATGAAAAATGGGAACAGATTTGTTTCTATCAATTTGAAAAAGCATTGCGATGAAACACTCTTTGATTCTTAAAACTCATTTTGTGGTTTGAAGAAAATAATAAATGCTGTCAAGAATTGATGGTATGGTATAACATGAACTGCTTTTTAGACTAAGCAAAATTCTGCGATTACGATGGTCAGTGTAAGCCACATAGTGTGCTTCAATGCAGGTCTCAGACATTCAAATTATCCAGCTAAGGTGTTCAGCAGCTGGTCACTGTTGATAAATTGGACTTTTTTAAATAAACCTGTCATTTTATGATAGTACAACCATTTTGAAGACTGTTGGCCTTTTAGTATTTCTAGAATGAAAGGACCACTTGTTGTTTATTCTTAACAGTTGATATCAAAGAAGAAAAAAAACAGTATGTGCTCATAATATTAAATATATGTTATCCTCTAGGCAAAACTATTTTTTTAAGCTGTATTGATGCTTTATCCATAGTCCTATAATTTACAGCAAGCTACTGATTTATTTGCCATGAGACAGAGGACAGTAATTTGGTTATTCAGATTTACTTGTGCCACTTGGGTTTGATGTGTTGTCTTTCCTCTTCTACAGTGGAGCACAGTCACTGATGAGTGGTTCAAACCCTATGTTGGGGTGCAACACTGGTGCCATAGCCCCTGCAGGTATAAATCTGAGTGGCATTTTACCCCCAGGAGGTCTGGTACCAAGTGCGCTGCCCGCTGCAATGCAATCTGCCTCCCAAGCAGGTCAGTGTGACTGAGTGGAAAAGCCACCCTTCAGACAGGGACAGTGTGAAGACATTCTGTGAGAAAAATGGACTGAAGTGGCCATTGTGTGAAGAGGTTGTGTATTTGATGGCTGGAGCTCAGGAACAACATACATGTTTTTGTATTCAAGGTGTAGGCTGTGTTGGAGTTTATTTGAAGCTGGTTTTTGGGTGAGCTAGGCTGGGAATACACAGTCAAAACCTGGATTGTTTGGTGTACTCAGTAAGAAGTTCAAGAGAAACTCCAAATTTAAATGAAATTTTGGTAATGATGACTGCCAGAAAAAAAGTCATGATTGAATTTAGAAAGAGGCCTCACTTTCTAAATGTGTGGGGCATTTTATTCTGGCCCTGGTACTACTTTATTCTTGTACAACAATTACGTAGCTCCTTATTGCCTTCAAATGCAGCTATATAAATCTTAAAAGTACAATTTAAATTATCAGTTTATTTTTTCTGAACAAATAATAGGTATGGTATAGGTATGGTTATAGAATGACAACAGTAGAAGACTTCAAGATATCCATCCCTTATGCTAAGAGTTAAATCTGTCTAAACCATACTGAACCAATGTTTATTTAAACTGTGTTTAAATATCTACACTGAAGAAGATTCCAGTCTTCCTCAGTAGCTGTTTGGAGCAGCTCATTATCAATGCAAAATTGATGCTTCTAATTACAGTGCATCTCCTGAATTGCAATTTTTATTTCCTCCTATATCCTTCAGATGTGAAAAATAGTTGTTCACTCTTTCTCTTTATCTTCTAAGTATCAAACATGCTGTCATGTCCCACATTTGTCTTTTTCTGATAGGTCGTATTTTTCAAACCTTTCATAATCCTGTCACTCTTTTCTAGACTGTCCAATTTGCTTACATCCTTCTTAAAATGTGATAACCAAAACGGGACACAAGCCTGAGCTTGGCTGATTTACCACTGTGGAGCACAGCAGAATAAATACATCTCATCTCTTTCACAACATTCCTGTTAACATTTCCCCAAATGAGGTCTGCCTGTTTTTTATCTGTATTTTTTGCAACAGCATTACCTTAACATAAGAATGGCTTTACTAGTTTAGGCCAAAAATCCATCCAGTTTATATTCTGTCTCTGACAGTTGCCATTAGAGGAGAGTGTTTGAGATGAGACAAAAGTGTGAAATGAAACATCCCTTGTCTACAACTGTACCTCTTCTGGCAATCTACAGCTTTGAGACTTTCTCAGCTGAAGAATATCCACATGGATCTTTGTGCTTAATATCCTGTGCTAGATTTCTAGTCTGTGGATTTATCTAATTGGGTTTTTTTATCTAATTGTATATTTTTGGAATCTCTACAGCATCTTGTGACAGTGAATTTTATAAATGTAAACTGTGTAAAGAGGTTCTTTTCTTTTGTGTGCTCTGTATTTTGTGATATGGATGATTTGGATATGTTTGTGACCTCCTGTAACTTCTCATGTCCTTTCTTGCTGTATAGACACAAAGATAGTTACAACTTTGTACTTGGTCATTTGTCTTTTTAAATCAATGTTACTGAGTTTTGGACCATTTCTTCAGTTCATGAGGATCGCTTTTAGTCTACTTCTGTCCTTTCAAGCACTATCAACTTCTACCAGTTAGGTGTCACAGATTTGTACATGGTGTGCTGTCACCCACACAACAGATGCAGTTAGTGAGCTGAGCTAGGTCTGTGCAAGACCTCCAGGGCTTCTGTTTGATAGCTGCTGTCTTCCTAGAGCATTGCTCAGATTTGGGGTGGGATTGTTTTCTGTTTGGTAAGAGTGTATTACTTCATTGAGCCCTTGGACTTTTTTGGATTTACTGTACAAACAGTAAAGCTTTTTAAAGGCAGAAGAAGGATCTCTGAAAAATAACTGCTGTGGTGTTCTCCACAATCACCTTTGTGTAAATGCACAAACAGGTTTTAGGTCACAGGGTATAATGTTATGTAGTGATACAGATTTCTTTCCATTTAGTCAGCTCTTGTGCGCTTTGAGTCTGAGTAACTGAACTGTATTATGGAAAATGCAGCATTGTATTAAGTTTACCCTTAATTTACACTTGCCAGTATTACACTTTTATTATACTTGTATTATTATACACTTAGTATTAAGTTTACACTCAATTTACACTTGCCAGTTTTCCAACTTCCAGATGTTTAGAAATAGTCCCAGTGGAAAGGTGTAGTGCAAAACACAAATACAACTGAGTAAAGACTCACTACTAATAAAAAGATGTTTTCTTTAACAGGCAGCCCATTTGGTTTGAAAAATACATCAAATCTTCGGCCCTTAAATCTTCTACAGGTAATTTATATACTTGGACACAATAATAATGATAATTTCTTATCTTTCTGTAGAGACCTGCTTAATGCTGCTTACTGCACTGCCCCACACAGATTTAAAAGGCTTAGAATAAGAGAAAAGACATCTCCATAGACATACCAGGTGGAAGTTATATTCCTAGCTCAGAAAAAAGCAGATAATTCTCAGTAACAATATAAAGATGCTGACATTTGGATTCAAAATATTAATCCTAAAATACAATCTTTCAGGATTTGCCTAAGGTTTCATTGCAGATCTCAGACTAAAGTTACAATTATAGTGTACAAAACAGTGTAGTAGAATCACTCAGAGGTTACACACAGAATGCCTAAAAGCCAAGCTCAGCATGCACAGGTAGGTGCAGTAATAGGTTTAAAGAGTTTTTGGAAATGGAAGTTCATGTAAGATCGGGAGTTTAGAAGGACTGTAAATGCTTTATTTGCACTAAGCATACATACAAATACAAACATGAGCAGCATTTATTATGTCAGAGTTGCATTTAAAAAAGCGGAGCAGGGGTTGTTTGTGGAACTGGGTGGAGTTCCCAGACCTTGAAGGCAGCTGCCACTTTCAGGTGCAGAACTGCAGCTTCAGTGTTCCTCATAGATTTCACCACACTTCAAAAAATTACTACCAGCTTTGCTTCTTCCTCTTCCCACTCCTGTACAGTCCAGAAACATGGAAAAGGGCAGGCACAGGAGGCAGTTACACCAGAGTAGAGCTCTTCTATAGAATTAAATACTTGTATTTGAGTGATTCCATGTTGAAGGACATTCTTTCAAGGTAGCTCTGCCACTCACATAAACCAAGAACAATTCAGCTGAAATAAGTGCAATTAAAGCTGGAGTAAGGGAGAGTAATCAAAGCCATTTCACTATCAAAATTCAGTGGAATATTCTGAAAGTGGAAAACAATTACAATACAGTGCTATTGGAGACTGGCATTTATCTTTCCAGTATCAGTACAGTATCTGCCATTTTAATTAAAATAAAATGTTTTCCTATGGAAATATCTTTCTATAAGTTCATGCAAGTTTGTTTTCAGAGCATGACCCTTTTTCAGAAACAGCAACAATTGTAAATTGATTGATTTTAAAGTCATTACAAAACGAAAATCAAGCCTCTTGGAAGTACACCACTATCAATACCATGTTCGTCCTAGAACAGCAGGAAACTCAGCAGTTTGATTGAATTATGCCTTTTGTTTTTAATCTTCAACAGCTTCCAGGTGGTTCACTTATTTTTAACCCACTCCAGCAGCAGCTGTCACAGTTTTCTCCACAGCACCAATCTCAGCAGCCTACAACCTGTAGACCCCAGCAACAGGGAGAACAGGAGTGTGCTAACAGCCCTCAGTCTGGGGTGCATGGAGGAAACAGTTTCTCTTATTCTCCCCATCTCCACAAGTAAATGAGCCATTACCCCATAGATCTGAAACTCTTCCTCCTAAACTTTCTCAAACAGCAAAGAGTGCAGTGGCTCTGTTGGTATGGTTGGAGCTGGGTTATACTTCTTTATTTATATCCTGTATAGAAAAACCTGCAACAACTGCTGAGCATTGTCTAGCTCTGTCATGAAGAGAGTCAGCCCCACTGTATGCGTGGTGTAAAATCAGCTTAGTGCTTTGTTTATCATAACTAACAGATATATCAGATGAACATAGAAAAAAATGCAGTGAGGATTGTTACAGAGAAACAAATACTTGTTACTGATACTCCTGTGAGTTGGCTTACAAACCTCGCTGCTGTAGTTCAGCAGAATTTTCTTTACACCAAAGAAAATGTAAGTTGTCTTTAAAGCTGTAATCTTAAGACATTAGCTCTGGTGCTGCCTGTAACTAGTGTTAAAGGTGGTAAGCACCAATCCATCCTCAAATGACAAATTTTGAGTGGTCAGTTGCACCTTAAAAATCCTGAGGTGCAAGTACCGGGTTAGTACTTAAAAACTAACATTGATGCAGCAGTGTGAGAAAACTAGCTGTTCTGCTTTTGTGTTCTCAGACACACAAGCCTTCTGCTTACCAAATACTCTCTACTGGATACTCAAGTTTGTCATAATTTCACTGTGATACTGTAGACTGTTCATAAATAAAATGCCTCTCTGAAATTTTTTTATGGTATATAGCCTCCTGTGACACAGGCCTTGTTCTGGATTGTGGGACAGTTTAATGGAAACTTTCCAATTTGTTCACAGCATCCGAATCTCTAAATGTCAGTTAGTAGTTGAACTACTAAAAAAAATGTGACCTTGTACTGTTGGATTTTATTTTCTAGATATTGAACATCAAGGGCATTAATAAAAAGGCTGATGTAAGCTTAGTTCTTGTGGCAGGAAGTTCTGGAGAAAATCAATCTCTGCATTGGTTAAACTGCCCTAAGGAACCTCTCTCATACCTTGCATTATAGAGGAGGGGATTGTTGGCTAAAACGAGATATTAAAACACTAGATTCCTTAGCTTTGATAAAGAGAGGAATGTATGTACTCACAGTGCTTAGTGAGAAAAGTTAGGCTCAAAACCAACAATTTTCTGTGCTACCAATATAATATAAATATGCATTCTCTCTCATACTTAGGGATTTTCCCCACATATTGGTTCTATGACTCTTAAGTCATCATGGAGATGATGTCTCAACGTGCAGTCTTTTGGTCTGGTTTTCCTAGATCTTGGCATTATAGTGTAATGCTAAAGAAGCATTGCAATTCCTGGACTGAACCAGCTTTTTTCCAACTCATAAGCCATGCAGCTTCCTTGAATTGTGCATATAATACTTTATTTCCCTGTGTTATAAATCAGTGCATAATTTAAGTTCTAAAAGAGGTCATAATTCAGCACCCTTTGACTTCAGGAGACACTAGGTCAGACTCCACTAATTCCTTTGAAGTGATTACTGTGAAAACTACGGTGTTCTGAAAATACAATTTTAAAAGCAGGGAATGTATTTTTATGAAATTAAGGAGCGTGTGGCACAATATGAACATGGGAATGTGTCAGCCTTTGCACACTTTGATTGATTAGAACCTTTGCACATGGATATCTCGGGGTCCCCTAAAGACTTTGGGGCTGGGAGTGGGGCAGGAAATTGTCGTAAGATTACAACCATGAAGTGTAGTCTCTGCTAGACTGCAGAGAAATTGACAACTACGTGGACTTCTGCTGAGTAACAGCAGCAATACCATTTCTGCCAAAACAAAGCTGTTCTGGGGTATTCAGTATCTGTTCTGCTGATAGTGGCTACACTGCAGTCTGTATCTAACACACACTGGATGACGTAGCATTAAATGTTTTTAAATGGCACTTCAGAAGTTTGCCTTCACACACTGGCTTTATTTGCTTATTCATTGATACGAAAGTTTGGTAATAAGGATCAAGCTTTTCATTTTTGCTAGGGGTCTGACCAAGGTCCATCCAATCAAGATCAGGCATTATCTGCCCAACAAGCTGCTGTAATTAACCTGACTGGAGTAGGGAATTTTATGCAACCTCAAGCCACAGGTATGTGCTTGCTGAGCCTCCTTTTGTAGCGAAGTGTTTATGTTGATAAATTCACACTGAAATGAAGTTTGGTCTTAAGGAAGTCTTATGTTAGATCAGAATGATTTACTGTTTATTATCAGGACATTAATTCTATGAGAAATACTCGACTTCTAAAGCATGCACTTCTCTGCTTTGTTTGGCAGTTAAGTGCCATCAATTGATGGTATCACATGAAAATAAGTTACACTTTAAGACAAAACGAAAATGCAGGGAACTTCATGCCAGACTTCATTAAGGAATGTTTCTTTAACTCTGTGCTTAACATCCAGTGTGAGAAACCTTTGTCTCCACAAGCACTTCATAATCTAATTATGTTCTAACTAACAGAGTATGTATATCATGTATACTTTATTCTGCACTGTTCCAAATTTGACTCTGAAACTAATTCTATTGATCCCTTTCCTGTTACACTGTATTCCTATGTCTTCCTCCCCTGACCAACTCAACCTGACCTCTTTGACCTGCCTGCTTTCCCCTTCTCCTTTCTCAGTGTTGTCTCAGCTTGGCTCTGCCGTGAACAGACCTGGGCAAAGCCTTCCTCAGCAGAGACTCCAGCTCTCTTCTGCCTTGCAACAGCAACAACAACAAGCCTTGCAGCAGCAGCAGCAACAGATACAAGTAATCCAGCAACTTCACTCTGACTGTGTTAAAAAAAAAATTAAATTAAAAATACAATTCTTGGCTCCAAAATCAAAAATATTGCCCTCTTGGGATCTCTTTTTAACTAATGCAGTTATGGGCTTGTAAACTGAAGGGAAAAAAAAAAAAAAACCAAAAAAAAAAAACCAACAAAACCAACATGTATTTGGCAAACTATCATGCATGATCTGAAATCTGTGGTTCTCTCAGCTTGGAGCACTGAATTTATTTTTATTTGTTTAAGCCCTCCACCTTCCTGATTTGCAAACATTCAAGGGGTGCTTGTGGCACATATCTAAATACTATACCAGCTGCCAATAGATTTCAAAATGGCATGGATGTAAGCACCTGGAAGATCGAATGTAGCACTGCTACAGTCAGTACATGAAAGCAAGAGCTCTGCAAAGCATTTCTTTACCATTCAGATGCTTCATGAAAACATTTTAGCATTTTTTTAGCACACAGTCTCATGTTTGTAATAAATACAGAAAATTCATACAATGCATACACTGAGAAGCTATCACATCAAAAAGGTACTGTGTAACCCAAACACTCAGTGAAGTTGCTGAGTTACTGCAGTTACTGCAATGAAAAGAAAGGGCAAAGAAACAAAGCTGTGCACATTCACATGTAAAATGTTAGCTTGTGCCCTCAGCAGGCTTCTGTGCCACTGGTGCTGCTTGACTGTACCCATTGCCCCAGTACATGGTGTGTTCCTTTTGTCAGCCTGGTGCTTCCTCAGTTTTTCTTTCTCTCCCCCCCTTCATTCTTCCTGATATGAAAGCTTTATAGTCAACACTAACAAGCTTTTTCTCCCTTCTCCTCCATGGCAGCAGTTGCGATTCTTGCAGCATCAAATGGCTATGGCAGCGGCAGCAGCACAAGCAGCTCATCTGCATCATCAACAACATTCAGGCAGCCACTCAAAAAGTAAAAGGAAAAGAGGCACGCCAGCCCCTCCAAAATCATGATTCTTGCCTCCCCCCCCAAAAAAAATTGACTGGAAGGGGATTTTTTTTTTTCAGATTGTTAAGGAACAGGCTTAAAATAAAATTAGCGTTTTATATTACTGGTGGGAAAATGAACTTTAGACATTACACTAAAAGAAATGAACTGATTTTGGAAGCCAACCTTACAGAACTTAGAAATTTCATCTATAAAGCGGCTAGGATCTGGTTTCCTCTAGTCACTTAATTTTTTAACAGAATGTTTTATCTTGTATTTTTTACCAGTCAACAACATTGTACATAGAATAAGGGTGAAAAACATTTTAGAAAAAATGAACTTTGTAAATGTAGTATTGGTATTTGTTTATTTAGTATAAAAAAGTTTGTGAACACTGTAACAAATACAATTTTTACAAATCAATTTTTGAAAAGAGATCTCTTTTTGTTCACTTGGGTGTTATACTTTTTATTACTTTGTCTATCAGCTTCTTTACTTCTTTGTGTCTTGTAATTGCTCTGGTGATACAGTCCTGAAGCTTGGCTCCTGTAAGAGGACTTCCACCTAAACATTGAAGGGAACAGTTTGATTTTCTACTTGTACTTCAGTTACATGTATCTAACTGTTATTTCCAAATGCGAGTATAAATACAGTAATTGTCATTACCAGCACCTTTCACTGGGGAGCATACAGCTTTCCCAGCCCTAGCTTCAGGCAAAGATAATGGAAACAAACAAGCTGTAACAGGACACATGCCCAGAATTAGTCCTCTGATGTGACTGCTTTTTCAACTTTAGTTATGCCATCCATCATCTTACAACTCCTTTCAAGAGCAGGTAATTTAATGACTATTCAAACAGTCACTCTGTTACTATAAAGCACCTGTATCTCACAAAGCAAAGCACGTACAGAATCTTTTCTTGATCTAACATCATCTCCATAGGTTTCTTTGTAGTAAATTTAGAAGTACCTGGTTTATGGACAGAACAGAGTCTGCCTTCTTCATCAGTTACAATGGTTACTGTTCCAGTTGCTAAATCTTCTTCTTCAGCAGTTGGATCAACAATGAGTAATGTGCTTGTGAAAGAAATGCATGCAGATATGTTGGTATACATTGCTCCATTAATGTTATTGCAAAATACAATTTTTACTGTAGTCTTACAAAATACTTGTAGATGGATTTAGTGCTCAAGCTTTCTGTTTTCCTACCAAAATGCACCAATTAAAAAAAAAAAAAAAAGCCAAAAAAATGTGGGAGATTCCACATAATCATGTGGAAAATAGGCATATGAGTGGTTTCATAAATTTGTGACAGTGATGTATTGCAGGAAAATGCCACTAAACTGCCATTTGCAGTATGCATTATGAAAGATTGCAGTCATTCTTTTGTAGTTACACTGGAGACTGGCATTGGTTTTAGGTATAGGCTGCACTAATTTCTACCAGACACCTTAAAGTAAAACTCATTTCCACTGCTATGTTCACCAAAGTAGCTCTCAGTTTGTTGTCAGTGAACTCTAACCTCATTCAGACTGGGAATAGTTCAAAACCAGATTCATTGGGTTGCTTAAGACAGCTTATTCTGGCTGTCATACTGTCACATGAGCAGTTCAGTGCATGGCTGCTGTTGATGTACAGGTCGCTGCCACAGGAGCAGCCCTGCAGCAGTGCTCCTCAGCCACGGCCACACTAACCAGCAACCTACCACTTCCATTTATTCAAGGCCTTTTATGTAGAAGAAAAATGCCTCTGGAAGTCAGAGTATGTAAAGCATTTTATTGAAAGGGCTATTAACCAGAATTAAAAATAAAAACAACAGAAAACAACGCAAACCACACAACACAGGCAGACACCCCCTCAATACTTAAGTTTTAGGAGGTAAAAGGAGACTTCAGTAACTTTTTTGATGCAACAATAGGTTTCAGGGAAGGAAACAAAGCCCAACAGACACTCATGGAAAGCATTCTTCCCCAGCAGCTTTTTCGTCTATGTGCAAGTATGTGTGATTTGTGTGTGAGTAATACCCTACTGCCAGCTGTCTGCCTAGTATGTTACCCAAACACTCAGTATACATCAAATTTCAGACCCAGCAGAAATGGTATTAAAGCAATTAACAGAGGCATTCTAAAGTACCAATAACGTCCTGCTCTGATGCATTTTGGTAATCACTTGGTCAACATTTGAGATTATTGCTCTCCCACCCCATTTGTTATTTGGATGAAAGGCCTGTACTAATATTTCTGTGAATACAAATTAATGTGCCATAACCCCCCTAGATCTTCAAACAGGCCTAAATCTTGAATAGCACAGTGAGCACTTATCTGTCACTTTCTACTTTGCAAATGGATGTCACCAGAAATGACTGCATTTCTTAAAAACAGCAGCAGAACACATTCTAAACATTCTTGACATAAGGAAGAGCAAGTAGACAATTTCAGATGAGGAATCAAGTTATTATATGTGATTACTTTGAATTCACATAATCAGATTCTCTTCCTACATGAACAATGACTTAAGCATGCTAGTTCACCTTGGGTAATTATGTTTTCAGTTATCCAGGAGTTCTATTGTTCTAACTGGACTGCTACTTCCTACTTCCTTTGTTGACTACATCCTTGGCATAAGCTGTTCAAAAGTTATCATCCTTTCTATCAGTTACACAGGCTTCTAAAACATTAATTGCACTGGTAACATTTTCATCTTAGAGATACTTCAAAAACCTAAAACAGTACCCTCCCTGCACTTTTAAACTTATCTTTTAGGTTGGGAACCACTTCTGCTTTAAGCCACAGGAAGAAGCTGCAGAGTACAGACTGCACTTTGTTCCTTGCACTCCTTACATCACAGAACTAGAGGCCCCTTCAATGAGAGGCTGTGGATTTAAGATGGGTGGAGCAGCATTGCCTGAGGCTCCACTCTGATCCCTGGCAGGAGTGCACAAACATCACTGGTGGCATCCTCTGTCCTTCATTTGTTTTACAGACACTGTTGTTTCCATAAAGTACAAAACAGTTTGGAACTTACTCATCAAATACAGCAAATGATGTGGCAACTGGATGCTTTCTGATAATCAAAGGATTCTTCTGTTTTAAATTAACTTCTGATAAACCAGTTTCTTCGTTTATCGTAACCAACGGCAATTGCACTGAAGAGATGAAAAAATTACAATGGTCTAATATTAAACATGCTGGATTTACCAGGCCTAGAGATGTCGACAACTACTGAAATATTTAAGCTGTTCTCTTAACCCACTGAAAATCAATCAGAATAATTTTTCATACACTAATGGTATTCGCTCCAAAAAAAAAAAATATTTGAATTCAAGGAAAGTATTTAGCTTAGAACTACCCATTCAAGGAAGTATTTGATTTTTGTACTCAGGGTAACAGAAGGTTTTCTCCTTACACAAAAATATTTTCTACTTCCAAAATGCCACACAATTAAAATACTTCAGAATCATATTTAACCAGAAGTATTTTTTCCCCAAGTCTACTGGACATATAAAAACTGGGAATATAGTCTCATGTCATGAATTGTATATATTTGTAGAAACAGTGCAACCTGACCTTCAGCTAACTCTTGCTGTGACAACCCATACATTGCTGGTGACAAGGAGGACAAGAGCAAAGTAGCTAGGGGAATTCCAAAGCTGGCAATTCACAGTTAGAAAGGGAGGCCTTGCCATAAACTTCCCTTTAAACTGCTGCCTTCATACATTTATAAGCCACACACCTGCAAACAGTCAGGCCACACATTTTTTTACAAACGATAATTCATTAAGCTTGGAAAGGAATATTCTGTTGTGACAAAGTACTTGTGTAAGCAAAACCTCTGGTAGCTCATCCTGCCTTCACAAAATACATTATCAAAGTAATACTCCATGTAGATGTTAAACTCATTCATGGCCACTGCCAAAAGACTTGGGTATCTAACCCCAGAGAACATGTGGCAGAATAGCTATTAGTCTTTTAAGAAAGCAATAATAAGTGTACAAAAAAGATCCTATTTTTCATGTGTTACACACTATGGCATCCCACCCTAATTTCCACCTTCTATTGCATTCAAATGAAACAAACAGTCCCAGGAACGAGTTGCCCACTTATCAGGTTCAAAACGAGTGCATTTCTCCAAGCAACACTAATCAGAATGTCTCTTGTTCTAAGGAAGCCTTACCATTTTTTAATGCTGCCAACAAAGCAAAGACACTGGCATCCAGAAGGTTTCCATCATAGTCCAGACATATGATATCACAGTATAACACCCATGCAAGCTATCAAAAAAGGTTCGCACATGTGAGATATTACATCAGCTAAGCAAATGGTGCAATATATTAGGAAAATTTTGGCCACTCTAAATAGAGATACTTATTTCTATTATTTGATTTTTGCACTTAGGATGAGCACTGAAAAGCAAAAACAACACTAAAACCCCCTCTAACCTTAAATACCTTCTGTATTTGTACTTGTGTACAGGTCCTGTGATCTTGTTACTATCTCCCTCTTCATTCTGAGATACAACTTACCTTGCCATTGGCAATACACAGATCTTCTTTCACTATCATCTGTGAACTAAAATGAAATGAGAGTAAGCAAGGCAATAGAAAACTCTTGCAGAGTTGCTTGTATTCTAACAGTACTAAGATGGTTCTTACTTTTCAATCACATCTGCGATGAACTGGCTCGCTGCTTGAGCTTCTTCACCAGGTGGTCCAGAGCGAAACCTCTCTGCACAGAGGGATGGCAGCTCCACATTTGGAACTAGGTAGCAAGAAGCATTAGTCATAAAGCAAAGAAAGCAGGCAATGGGTAATCAAAAATAAAAAAATAAATAACAGATGCTCTTAATACTATTTTATGTACTTCAAATGAAAGGCAAGACCAAGAATTTTTCAATCAAGCCTTCCTTATTCTCTCCTCAAAAATAAAGTTATGCATGAGTTTGTATTAAAGAACTTGTAGTACTCTCTGTACTCAGAAACTATATATTCCATGGAAAAGCACATACTCCTAGCTACCATTCTGTTTATAATCCTTCTCTATCATGACCCACACAAATACTTCAATTGTTAAGCACTTTTCAGCAGATCAAGAAACAGTACCATTTCCATCCCACTGCCTGACTTCACTGCTATGCTGTCTGCTTTCCATCAACCATTAAAACGTGAGACTTTAGACTTGAAGCAAAAACATGCATAAACATTCATGAAAAAAACCTAAGCATAGTTAAGCTTACTGAAAACAACATACTTGGGAGATGCCTTAGAAAAAGGGGATTTTGTCTCTCAATTCCACTGAATTATTTTATTTCCAAAGAAACTCCAAACAAGAGTGAGGAGGTACCACTGGGACTTACAGTTCTCTGAGAAATAAACAGTTTTTATTTCACTGTTTTTAACAGTTACATTTTTTGCCTACTGGGACTTTGAAACAGAAGTTAACATGCCTTTGCACAGCCATGCATGCCACTATCTTTTATGGAGTATCTTCTCCCTCTTAATATACACAATGATGCAGGTTTACTTCCATGCCCAGCCTGGAAACAGCAACAAAAAGGTAGCTGTATATGGAAAACTCACAAGCAAAGCAAAGGGAATTCTAGATGCCTGGATACCAATTTTGAAATTAATTTGAAGGGTTGCAATAAAATTTGATCAAAGTTAATTCTTTTAAGAAATCTACAGAACACAATTTCCACAACCTTTTAGCTGAAGTAATACAAAACCTCAGATCCATACTGAAACACTTACCAATATATCCCTTATTAGCAGACTCCACTGCAGGTGCAGCAAGTTCCTGGAGAAATAGAAAAGAGAAAAATTAAGAATTTTGTACAAAATATTTTTCAGCTGTTCTATATAAAAATGGTTGTTTTCTTCCCAATTATTATAACAATAAGATTTACAAAAGTCATTTTTAATCAGTCCTTGTCTGTAAATTTCCCATGGAAGAACTCAGTACAGGGATGAACAGTCATTTGTTTTGTAGGTCAGGACCTGCCAGCAGTAGAGTTGAGGCTACAAGACATTCAATAGTCCAGCCAGCTCATTCCCAGTGCACTTACTGATCCATGTTCAGGAACTTTTCAATTACAGAGCTTTTATCTAGAAATAACAAGGTCTTTAGTTTTCTATACATCTTTCCCCATACACGATGGGCATCACAAAAATACATGTTTCTCAGACTATACAGGTAGGATTATACAATTACATTATGTATTAACTTTCAGGTCTGGAAGTAACTCAGGTGAAAGACTGTAATTGCATCTGACTGGCACATTATTGCAACTCCATGGGCAATTAATTCTAAACACAAATGAACAAAGTCAGCTAACAAATGAAGATAAAAACCAACCATACCGCTTTTACTCCACAAATCACTGTGGTATTTCCTAACTTCACCAGGGCAGAACCATCTGCAGTTGTAATTGAACCTGAAGAGAAAAAGTATTGTTGAATAAAATCTATTTTCCCTTCAAAGGGCGCAAAATAACATCCAGCAGTCACAGAGTGTTTACTTTCCATCATTTTACACTAAAGACAGCCCAAGCAAAGTCTCAAATCCAGAGTGGGAAAGAACCTATTAAACTGACTGTATTAAACAGTCAATCACACAGAATGGTTGAGATTCTCCAGCCTGCTGAGGCCCCTCTGGATGGCAGCACAACCCTCTGGCATATCAGCCCCTCCTAGTTCGGTGTCATCCGCAAACTTGTGAGGGCACCTATATTGTGCTGCACATACAGGAGCAGAATTGACTAATTACACCGTGCACATTCGCCCAGGAACAGGACTGAAAACAGTGCTCAAGGATTTCACTGTACCACACATTCTTTTTCATCCTTGTTGAAACTGTAAAAAAAATCCTTCCTCTTCCTGGTTTCCAAATGCAAGAACCAAGAAAACCAATTACCAAGTCATTAAGGTCACCACTATAACCTGATATTAATAATACCTCCCCCATTATTATTATTATTATTCCACATAAGCACTTGCCTATGTTGACAGTGGTTGTACGAAATTCACCTAACTCTCTTCCATCAGGCCGACAGTTCTCTTTCTAAAGAAAAATTACAAACTTCAAATTAGAAAACATACTTTATCAAATAACACAGTAATATTTTTGCTACAGAACTTCATAAAAAAGAATACTGTCTTCTCAAAAATATGAGGGAAAACTCAGTCACACTCTAGTTGGCTTTTAATCAACTGATATGTAGTTTGTGGTTGCAGGCCTGCAAAAGACAACTCCTAATTTTAAAAATCCATTTAAATTTATTTAGATAATATAACAATAGACTGATTGTCTCAAGGGTAGGTACTACAGGAGACTAGATTCAGAACATCATCCAAGAATGAACACACACTGGTAGCTTAAAATGAGAGTTTCTACCCACCTGCATTGCTTAGTGGAGCTCCTAAAATTAGAGTGAACTAAAGAAAACAAAAGAAAAACCCTGCACCCAAAGAAAATATGGCATTCAAATAACATCAGTCAGAAGCTGTACAACACATAACCCTTATGTCAGAAACTGAAAACAGTATTCTATCATTTTAGATCTGAATTGTTACTCACCACAGTTTCAAGCTTTTCAAAAGCAAACACTTTTGGTTCAATTATGAGAACCAAAATTTGCAATAATACTGGATCCATTTCTAAGTCAATACAACTTCAGTAATAGCTGAACTAATTTAAGGTAACAAAAGTCAGTGTTCTTCCTCTGCAGTTACAGTGTGCATGGTTAGCAGCAATAGTCTCCATTACTAATTTCTGTAGCATCTAAAAGCCTGGTTTGACATAATTTATACTAGGCAAAAACCTGCATCTTGGTCTAATTTAACCTGAACTCCTTTCAAGACCAAGAGAAGCATTTACCCATCAAGATGAACAGCACCAACACCACTGATGGAAAGAAAAACATATTCTGAAGAGCACAAATGTTTTTTGCCTGCTCAGACAGTTTTTTGTGGGGTTTTTTTTCAGTTTTCATTTCCATAGTTTCAGATTTCCATACAGTTAGAGGAGCAGAAGCAAGCAAGAAAAAAATCACTGCAAGGAACTTATACAGGCATCTTATGTTTCACTCACCAAAAACCTTCTGTAATATTCCAATGGTTCCACAGTTCTAGAACAAATAGAAAGAGAAGTTCAAATGCAAGCTCCTGAGTAGGCAAGACACAGAGGAAAAACAAAAAAAAAATTTAAGAAAAAAGCACAAACCTGCAACAATAAATAATCTGGGTATCAAGACGCCTGACAAAGCTGCTTAGCAATACAGTTACAGAACAATGAGGAAATTTTAAACCAATTTAAAAAAAAGATGTTTTCCTAAATTCACTTCTAAAATGCTTCTTCCATACAAGGAACATGCCTGCACATACACTTAACAAAAACTGCTAGCTTTCACTTCAATAATCCTATTCACTTTAAATCAAAAGAAGTGTTTAGTGACAGAAGGGTGTAGGAAGGAAAGTGCCTTTCAAGGAATGCAAAAAGGAAAATTTTACTACACTGTGTGAAATATGTTAGTTCAAGGATTGCATTCAGATGCAGAAAACTGTAAAAAATTTTGAATTATTCAGTTTTTCTTAGAATCTTTGAAAAAGTATAAAATTACAAAATATGCTCCATGAAGTGTTTCAGATGATAAATAATTGCTGCTTATTATTAATCACGCACTAGTAACAGTACCTGTGTATTAGAATTTAAGCACTAACGTAAAAAAAAAAAGCTTTTATAAAAAGTGTCGCCAATATTTAAACAAAGCATTCACAGTTTCATTAAAATAGGGATGGAAAAAAGATAAGTGGAATAGGCAAGTTTTCCAAATGCAGACTAACACACAGAGGCCACAGTTTCATTAAAATAGTGCTTCTGGGGCAGGGATGGAAAAAAGATAAGTGGAATAGGCAAGTTTTCCAAATGCAGACTAACACACAGAGGCATCACCAACATAACAGCCAGCATGAATTGGCCCCTGTTGGCTCCATATATGTTGGTCCTGTACCACTGGATTATAAGCACAACACAAGGTCTGTTGTTTTCCAGTTCATGTAACAGCACTTGCTAAACCTCGTTTGAAGCTTTTAAGCCATACAATAGAATCAAGGATGCTGGGACAGACTGCCCAGAGAACCTGTGGATGCCACATGCCTGGAGGTGTTCAAGGCCAGGCTGGATAGGGCTCTGAGCAACCTGGTCTACGCTGGGGCCCCGCGGCTGCCGCGGGCGATGGCGCTGCCACCGCTCCCGTCCCTGCCCCTGACCCTGCCCGCAGCCGCGCTGGCGCTGGCGACCCTCGCCGCCTTCCTCCTCGTCCTGGTGAGAGCCGCGCACGGCGGGCCCCGGGGGGCTCCGCGGCGGGGGCGGTGCGCGATGCCGCCCTGTGCCCGCCCCCCGTTGCGGAGCAGGGGCGCTGCCCGGGGTCCCGGTCCTGCCCCGGGGTCCCGCCGCGCCCCGCGGGCGGCAGGGCCGGCCCGGGCTGGGCGGCAGAAGCCGGCAGGGCTGCGCTTGTGCGGGGGGTTGTGCGGGGAACGTGTTTCGGCAAGGCGTGGGGTGCCGTGCCTGGCAAAGGGCACCAGGACGGAGCATTTCAGCCTTACAGTACGGGTTGGGAAATGTCCTGGTAACGCCTTCGCGTGAACCATTTGGGAAGTGGCTGTGTTTCTGCTTATTCGAAATGTCCTGCGAGATTAAGAAGGTCGACCCCCTGGAAAGCGAAATTCTGCTGCCTGTCCGCAGTGCCACGTATGCTTCCTGCCCGGGGAGGTGGCGGAGGCGCCGTCCCTGGAGGTGTTTAAGGAAAGACTGGACGTGGCACTCAGTGCTGCGGTCTAATTGATACGGTGGTGTTGGGGCATCGGTGATCTCAGAGGTCTTTTTCAACACAGGTGATTCTGTGTGTGATGTCACCAAGTAAAAGTGCTCCAGAACCCAAGTTCTACCGCTTTTTTTTTCAGCCATGCAAAAAGCAATCAGAGCCTTGGTTTTGCAAGCACATATGGCTGGCTGGTTGTGAGCCTTGCCATTGATTTCAGTGGCTTGGTGGGGGATCAAAGGTACCACCTGCTTATGTACTCGAGGTTACTTGGGGAAGGAGCTTGGACCACGGCTTTGGAGGCACTTGCATGCTTTGCAGATAAAAACAGCAGCAAGCCAATGATGCTGACAGGGGTCAGAGTGGGAGTAACCAAATGGTGTGAGAGGGTTTTGGTCCTGTGTGAAATTCCACAGCAGTGACCCACCTCATTGCTAAAATATACTTGGTTACTTCTGGTAGCACATCTAATAGCTAGGTAAACTTCTAACATAATGCTTGACAACATTTTTCATTTCTTCTTCATCACAGATTTGTGTAATCGCTCATGTAACTGCCAAAACAATGCCACATGAAGATGCTGAGTGCAGGAAAGGATCTGCACCAAATATACATGATCCTGCTACAAGAGGACTCTCTGTCGTTGTGCCTTCATACAATGAGGAAAACCGGTGTAAGATTTTTCTAGTTTTGAGGAAAAGAAGAAAATCTATCTGTTGTTACTGTAATAATGAAGAGGTCAGTTGGGTTAGCAGTAGATTCTGGCAGGCCAGATTACATATCAGATTTTGGACACAGTTTCCAGAAAACAGTCCAAGTACATTGAATTTCAAAATTAAGGCATAGTGTAACTTGATTTCTACTGCTAAAAATAGCATGGGGCACTTGTAAGAATCCTCTTAATTTTAATGAACTCCAGAAGAATGGGCTGTTCATTGCCCCTGCCAATGCTGCGAGGCAAGAAGTAGTAAAATGACTTGAGAGCTTACCACTCTTTAAACAACAACAGAAGCTTCAAACAAGCAGAAAAAGTGATGATCTCATGGGTTTGTGTTTGACTTGGCCATAGATAGGAGTACATAATACTGAGTGAAGGCTTTTAGATGCAATAGAAATAATCAAGCTCTAAAGCTGATGTGGCAGTACACAAGCTGACAGATTGCTTAAATAGATAAAGTTACTGCTGCTTTACAGGGTCAGTCTTAAAGAATGATTTTTTTTTTCCTTTAATGTTATGTAGAGAATTACATACTTCAAAATGAAAATTTCGTTCCTCAGAATAAAAGTTTTTATCCTGTCTTTTTATCACCTGTGTGATTTTCTTCAATGTTCTTTCTGCATTCAGAAAAGACAGCACTTAAGAGTTGCAGCTGCTAAGCTTGTTTACTGAAGGTAGTGTTGTATGAAAGAGTTGATTTGCTCAGCCTTGCTTTGTGGCTGTTTTCAGCTTGCTTGTGCAGGTGCTTTTGGTATTATAAGCTAATAACCTGACCTCCTCCACCTTTTCTCTAGTACCACTTATGATGGATGAAGCTTTGGATTATCTAGAAAAAAGACAGGTATTTTCTTTTTGCCTTCAAAATTCACTGTTTCTCTGTGTATTATGTATAAGAAGTCAGTGATCTAGTCATTTTATTATGTTAGTGTACATTAAAACAGTAGTACTTGGCCACTTAGAAATAATGCTTCTGTCTCTTATCAGTTATTTTTAGATCAAGTGCCAGAAAGGATTTTTAAATGAAGTAAAAATTTAATATGCTACTGTAGGATGAAACAATCTTCATATGCATGAAATTTGCCCAAGACAGAGCTAAGGATTAACCATGCATTTAACTTTCTAAACTAAGTCCTGGTTTGTTCCAACAAGTTTCATAAGCATCTGTTCTTCATTAGGATTTGTTCTCTGGGTAAGAAGCTCACTGTGAAAGTTTGTGGATTTTGTTTGTTGGGTTTTCTTAAAAGTTATGTTTTTTTCTGAGCTTCCATCTTCTACAGCTAAATTGATTTTTCAGTTCTAGATGGTAGCATGAAACCCAGTGTAACAGTACCTGCATCAAATATAGCAAAATTCTGTAATTATGCCATCTTAACAAATTTACTGCATCATATTAATATCTGTTGGCAACTATGAATGACTGCTAGGGAGAAAATAATAATGACATTTGAAAGACCTATTGCTTGCCTAAGAAGTTGTATGAAATTGATGAAACTGAAATAAAATGCATTATTTCTGTTTTTATTTTCAAGAAACAAGATCCTTCATTCACTTATGAAGTGATAGTGGTTAATGATGGCAGTAAAGATCAAACTGCAAAGGTAAGAAAAAGTAATGTCTTCCCAAGCAATCAGAGGCGTGAATTTTGTTTGGATTTTTGTATATTTGTGGAATATACCAGTGGTTTATATTTATATTTTGGTACTTGAAGCAGTTGACAGTTGAAGTTCACAAATCTGAATTATCTCTGTCATTGCATCATGGATGGCGCAGAGGCACATGAATACACACACAATTCTTTTGCAAATTTCAGTTTTCTTGATTGGCAACTGTGACAGCCACTTTCCTGCAGCTGAGGTTCTAAGAATGCTAATACTGACTTCTAGAAATTTCACATTAAATACTCTGCATGTCCATAGTGATGATGTGAATATGAAATTGAGGAAGCTAAAAAGTCTTTTAAAATATTTCATTCATACTGTGATTGACATAACAGTTGATATGGTTGTTTCCCACACCCATTGTGGGATTGTTCATTTAAATATCCACATGCCAGTATTAGTATTTTCAAAATAGTTCTGTATTCTTCTGCTTCAACTTTTGTCTATGTCACTGGCAAGGAAGGCTAGCCAGCTTGTGGGGTTTTTTCCCTACTGCTTGGAAGATATTTGAGGTACACACTAAAATGTATATTGCTTTAAGGATTGCTGGTATATAATTTTGACTGCTGTGCATTCTTTCTACCATCTCTTTCAACTGAGCATACAATGGCTGCAGGCCTCTGGACTTAAAAGGACTCAAGACAACCTTTAAAAAAAATCAGGAGATCAGGAGAAAGCCTAAGCTTTCTTTCTCTTCCCCACAACATGTACCAAAATGTTCAGATCCTTGCAGTGTGAATGGAGTCTTAGATCAATATGAATTTTTCTTCAAAACCACAAATAGCAGCAAGACAAGTGAGAAATAGGTAGCTGTCATAGAAAATTGTATTTCTTTTATGAACTATTGGTGTTAATAGAAAAGGTCTGTAATAGTATGATGTAAATTAAATTAGGATTGAGTTTTTTGGAGGTGGGAGGATGGGGGTTGAAATTGCTTAGGGAAATATCCTGTTCT